TGGATCTCCTTGCCATTGTTCAAGTCCTCAAACTGCTTAGGAGTCAGAGCCAACCAAAGACGAATGGATTCCATTGCCATTGATGCCAAAGGATCTCAAAGCGATCGATAGGGCGGTTGAAATGCAAAAACGCTGAGCCAAAGTTGTCTTATAATAAAACAGCAACGGTGGAATGAAACCTCTACAGACATGAGGAGTCCAGACAAAATGTCAAGTCAAGTCCAACAGAATGTACAGCTCCATACTTCGTCTCTCACTTAGACAGTATGTCGAGCCACGAACTGACATCACATTTACATTCATTTCAGCCAGTTTCACGTTTTGGAACCTATGCAAGTCGTCTAGTCGCCCCTGCCGTCCAGTTCCCTGTTTCTTTCTCTCTGACTTAATCTGTTATCTGAGCCTATGCACGTCTGCAATCCAGCTCATGTGTGAACCTTGCAACGTCTTGCAATCTGGTCCACGTTTTGACTTTCTACAACTTTTCTTTCCTTTTCGGAACCTATGCAAGTCGTAATCGCCCCTGCCGTCCAGTTCCCTATGGACCTATGCAGCGCCTCTGCCATCCAGCCCATTTCTTTCCTTTTTTTGTTGTAAGTCAAAACTCTTCAATTCAAAAGAAAATTGCAAATCTCAAATCCCAGATTCCCTCTTTTGCTTTTCACTCTGAGCAACACGCAAACGCACAAACTACACTACCGTTCTACTTCCCTCTCAGGATTCTCTGCAAAGCTCCAATGCTGTAAATCTCGTGAAACTCCATGCCAGCCTTCTGGTAGTACAAGATGTCCACTCAACATGGCCCAAGGTTCGCAAAGGAAACCCTCCAGGGTCGACTAACATCACAAGCATCTTGTTCTCAGACTACATTTCTACCAAAGGAAGTGCCATAACCAATGTAGGCAAACCACACTGGCAATCATCGCTGTAAAGACCATAGAGCTCGTCTCACAGCCAAATTGGCTTGCAGATATCTCCGTGCTCGTCCATCCATCTAGAGAGGTACGGTACGACTGCTCTAAGCCAAAAGGGGAATGCTTGCATTCAAGTTATCTTCACACAAAGTCCAGTCAGTCTGACAACAACTCCAGAGTACCTACCTGTCTCAGGGTCCAATATACCTTCTCTGCATCTGTCCCAGTCCTCACGACTACATCCGTTCCAGGTTTCACAAACAACTGCAACAATCCAAGTAACGTAAGTCATACCTGACCTGCCTGCGACACTGCACAACTGTTCAAATTCCAGTCAAAAAAAACATGAAAGCAAACTCACAACAAAGTTTCCTGTTTCGTTTCAAAACAGTTCAAAGCAGTTTCCACTTCCTACACAGTTCAGGCCGTTTCCATTGACTTACAGCAATACATGATCAACTCAAACACTTCCACAACTGCAGTTCAAACCAAGGATGCTACCTGATGCATCTGAGAAATCAAGATCAACGTTCCCAAACAGGCAAACAAAGTTCACTCTGGCCATTCTTACTCACCGCCTGTTGTCAACCAACAATCTCAACACCAAGTTCCACTGTGCCTTCAGTGCCATGACGGTTCCTATTTCTCTCTCTCTCTCAGCACTCCAGTACCTATACTGCCAGGCAAACAACAATGCTTCAGGCTTCAATCTCAAGGTTACCAGTCAGTGCAACCATCCGTCAAGCTCCACTGTTCCTGCACACTACTGAACCTCAGGTGTTCAATTATTCACGCATTGCATTACAAATGTGGCAACTAAACCAAGGTCACTGACAAAGCAAACTCGACCCTCCAGGTTCTCATGCCAACGTTTCTCAAATATGTGGCAACTAAACCAAGGTCACCGACCCTCCAGGTTCTCATGCCAACGTTTCTCAAATATGTGGCAACTAAACCAAGGTCACCGACCCTCCAGGTTCTCATGCCAACGTTTCTCAAATATGTGGCAACTAAACCAAGGTCACCGACCCTCCAGGTTCTCATGCCAACGTTTCTCTTTCCAACTGTCATCTCCAGGCATGACGCCAGGCTCAGTAGCACCACGCACTGTGCACTCCGTGCGTCCAGGATCAACTACAACCTGACCAACCTGTCGAGATGTAACTCTTTCTTACTTCTCTAGTATGGACCTATGCAGCACCCTGCCATCCAGCCCATTTCCTTTTCTAGTTCTTTCAAATGCTTTCTAGTGATTCTCCAGGCACTCTCTCTCTCTCTCTCTGCCAAAATCACCAAGCCTCTTACACAACAAAACTGCAAATCTCACATGCAGCGCAACTCAGTATGCTGCAGCTCAGTCGTTGTCACCTATTTTCACACGCTTACCACTACTGCCAGGAACCCTATCGCCTACATCTGCCAAATCTATCATACAGCAATGGGTCACAGGTATCTCAACCTTGCAATGACCTGTGGTATCTCCCCAAGATATGCTCACGCATCTCACAAATCTGCCTCTGCATTTCGGTTTCCAACTCTCTGAGATGATCACGGAACATTGCCATGATGTCTCGCTGGTTCGCATTCAGACGAACATCTTCAAGCAACGGCAAAAGCCATTCCATGAGAACAAGCACAGTCTGTATCAGCCGAAATACACTCGTCACCTTCTCCAAGCCGATAATCCAACCAATGTACTGTTCCTCCATTGCTTCACGTAATGGTCGGTTGTCGCGGCGATTGTCCATTCTTAGTCCAGGCTGTATGGCGATACTTTCCTTGATCTTAAACGCTTCGGTTCCAACCAAAATCCAGTGGTTTCTCAACTCTTACTTTCAAAGACTTCTAGGCCAGTTGTCGGAGTCTCTATTGTCCAAACACTCCACTTGTGTCTCCAGGACCTACTCCCAACCTCAGCCTGTCGAGATACTCTCAATGTTCATCTCCAGGCAGGTTGTCGGAGTCTTCACTGTCCAAACACCTCACTTGTGTCTCCAGGACTTACTCCCAACCTCAGCCTGTCGAGATACTCCAATCATTCCAAACATGTCATCTCCGGCAATCAATTGACAAGTCACCTTCAACGAATGACCTTACAGCCAACATGCCACAAAAATGAAGTGAGACAAAAACACATCACATAAATCAAGAATACTCAAGCTCTTCGATGCCCTTGACTTTACATCAGCAATGTACCAATCTAGTGATCACTTCAGAACCTTAGTACAAGCTCAACACAGATCTCGCGAAAATCCAGGAGCTCAATACAAACGATCTCAGCTTCACCTTAGATGGTGTCCTTAGTACACTGCAACAAGGGTCAGCGGAGAATGGTGTGGGTAGCTCCGTACAGCTCCGCTACCATGTAGAAAAAGCGCCGTGCACAGATCTGCGGTCAGATCCAACACTTCTTCAAAATTCCTACAGAACTACGCAGGCGGACGCGTACGTCAACCACGCACACCAAACACAAGCGCAGAGCGTAAATTCCCAAAACTAATTAAACTAAAGCAATACCATGTCAAAAGGATTGTTTCACCCTCGACTCCCACATGCTGACGTCAAGCTCCTTCTTTTCGCTCCAGACGCAACACGATCAGTCACGGGGAAACACAAACACAACAAACAAACAAGAGAAAGGACAAGATGATGTGTTCCCTGTGTCGCTCTGTCTTATGTCAAGTTATGTGACACAGCAGCTCTTGTTCATGAAATGAACTTCTGACACCAGTCCTTCGAGCCGATGTCTCAACTGGTAAACTCGATTTCAGGTTTCCAGTTAACAAACCTCAAGTTCTTCAAATAAAGGTCTGTTGAAACTATTCCAGCTGCTACAAGTCTACAAAACTCAATTTCACAAAATGAATTCAAAATCATCGGAACACTTCCAAAAGTTCTCAAACCAAACTGGTTCTCATCCAAACGTGAATAACCAGCTCATTAGTCACAAGCTGACTAACTTCTCAAGAACGAAGTGATTCACACAAGGTGTCTGTACAACCTTCTTCTGGATACAAAACATAGTCAGAACACAAAGTTCTTTCCCCAAATCAGTTTCCCACATAGAGATAACATCTCACAGCTTCCAATCTCAATGGAGAATAGAATGTTCTGTTCGACATTGTCAATGTAGGTTAGCCAAATACAGTTGTATCGCTGAAGTCCTTCGACCACTGTAATAGCCAATCCACAATGTAGACCAAAGTCGTCTCAAATCAATGTCGTCCTCATAGAGATAACCAAAGTCTTCTCAGGAACGATAAAATGCACACCATAAGATCAAGTGTATGATCCATAGGTCACGATGACGATGATGTAGGTATTGTCCTCACAATACCGAAACATCTCATCACAAAACTCTCAGACAAATAAGATGCCCAAATACTGCCATTGTCTTCACAATGCCACTGCATCTCAAGGTCCACGCCCCAAAGTATAGTAGGTTCTCTCCATCAGATATTTCGAGCTAGCTTAAACTCTTCTCCAAGAGTTTCTAGCTGTGTTCTCATCACTTGGAGAGAATAAACTTCTCAATGTTCACGACACAAGAGTAATCTCAATGTCAAACCAATGTGGGTGTCTTCAGCTCAAGCAATAAGCTGTACCAGACTCAAGTCGAATCCAGAATAAGATGTAGAATAGATCAATATACCACAATCAGTATTGACCTGATCAATGACATCATCCTGATGTCAGAGATGATAAGTTCGAAGACCAATAGAATATTGCGATACATGTTGGTCACATACCAGATTCCTTCCGCAATAAGTAGAGTGTTCCCTACCAATCTTCCATGACGCGATGAACTCTTGCAGTAGCCTTCCACATATCTTCTGTGCATAAACTATACAACCATGATGAATGGCATGTCGCTTCACCCTTAACCAAAGGGTGCTCCCATAGGGCGTCAAATTTCCATAGGTTTCCTCCGTGTCAGTCTTGCAGCTGAACAACACTTCCTGGAGCGTAGAATCACTCCTGACGTTGCTTGGGTTGGACTATGCGAAAGACGGGAAGAAATTCCAACCTTTCAGCCGAAGGTTCAAGATGCTAGGACTCGAGGTTCACCTTGGGCATTCAGAGCAGATGGAAGTTACTGTTGGACACACTGAAGAACGAAGGGAAGCTGATCCAGCAATTCACTTCACGGATCTCCTTGATGCACTGGAACTGTACAAAGACATTGCCACATACAAGTCGCGTTTCATATTCGCTGACGTCAAGGCTCGCTACACAGCAGGGATTGGACGTGTTCCAGAAGCGCACAATCTTCTGGAAGTCTGTGCTCTGACAGAGGGTTACTACGCCTGAAGTCTGGACTTCTTGATTGGAGCTGACCGAGGAGCCAGCGAAGGGAAGAATGTCCACGTGCGTGCACCAGTTACATCTTCCTTGAGTAGCTAGAAACTGTCAGCCCCGAATTGAAGGATTGGTACAAGGAATCGTTCAAAGAACTTTTCTTCAGGTTGGATGGAAACCTATACGGCAGAAGGACAGCCGGATCCGTCTACAGAAATAAGTTGGAGGAAATCCTCTGCTCAAAGGTTGATCCACAGCGGTATTTTTTCTCTCGTGGTGAGAAGGATCTATGTGTCTTCCGTTGTGACAAGTCAGGGACCATCCTGATTCACCATAGACGACATCTGTATGGCTGGACCAAAAGAGGCTGTCAACCACCTGGTTGAAGTCGAAATACCGAAACACTGTGAGGTCCAAGCAGAAGAGCTCGAAAGCGAAGGACAGCTGTTGAGTACCTGGGTCGCACCAAGGTACGACCCAAAGATGCTATCATCACGATACCAGATCAGAAGCACATCAAAGCTGTCATCGCTGCGGAAATCTCCGCCAGAGACCGCAGTAAGGTTCCTTCCAAACAACAAACCTCTCAGAAACGGAGCCTCTTGGCGAGGCAGATGCCAAGCTGTGTCGCTCGGCAGTAGGATCGGCGATCTACCTGTCGCTGGACAGAAGGGAGATCCAGCACGCAGTGAAAGAAGGCCGGATGCCTGGAAACGCGGCGAAGCACCGACTGTTACATAGCAGTTGTGTGTGGTGCAATCGTCGCATGTGGCACACAGACCCAACCGGGCCTACCGGCGACAAGTTCGCCGGATGCTGAGCTCAGGGTTTCAAGAGCAGCTAGGGAAGCTATCTTCCTCAAGGAGCTGATCAGGCTGATCACCCGAGATTTTGGCCAGCAGTGCGGTAAGTCCCGCCTGTGGACGGACAGTTCATCGGCAATGCAAGCTTCCAAGCGCATTGGACCAGGTTCCAAGCTCAGACACCCAGAAGTCTGTGAGTTCTATGTGCAAAGGAGCTTTGCAGTCCAAGCAGATAGCTTTGGGCAAGGTCAAGGGCACCGTGAATTGTGCCAACTTCCTCACCAAACACCCAAAGAGTGGAACGGAAGTAAGCTCGTGATGGAGAAGACATGCTCTCTTCGAGCAAGAAGGTCTCTGTCGTCAAGGTCTCAACCGTGACCAGCAGCATGCGTGGAAGACTCCTACGCCAGCTTGTGTCGGTTGGATCAAAGACCAAGATCGAGCGGGAAGAACCGCCACGGCCTGTCGGCAAAATGGACAAATGGTCGGGTGCATCAAGGCTCTTGTTGTCCTGAGCCAAGTTCAGGCTGTGGCAGGGCAGCCAACGTACTGCCTGTCCCCATACGAATGGTACGCATTGTACTTCTTGGCCGCAATCGGCACTTGTGTGCTGATATGGAAACTGGCACAACAGTTCATCGCTTGTTGTGTGGACTGGTTATGTCCAATCGAGCCAGCAACGCAAGACACGGGCCATGAGGTGCAATTGCACATCCAAGATCAGCAGATCACCTTACGAATCAGGGTGACTGCCACCAGAAACAATCAGCAGCTAACGCTGACTAATCCAGCGCCAGCGGCAACCCCGCGGTCAGAGCCAGCGGTAAACCCGCGGACACCAGCGGAAGCCCCGCGGTCTCCTGAGGAACTTACTCCTCGAGGGATCGAGAGGTGGCATGAGGAACGTTGGGTCCAAGAAGCCGCAGAGGCCAGAATGACCATGCAGGAGTTGATTGAATGGCGCAACCAAGAAGAGGCTCTCCTACGAGGAGAGCATCCCGACGGCATGTCGGACTTCCAGGACTCTGAGTCAAGTGAGTCCGAGGCGGCACCAGCCAGCGCGGGCAGCACCGCGGAACAGTGGGCAGCTCCGCCTGAGTGGGCAGATCCGCCGACCCGGGAACCGGAAAGCGAAGCCGATGCAGCCAGCATCGAGCGGAGCGACCCGTTCGCCCATGTGTCTCCAGCAGAATTCGAAGAATGGAGACGGCCGGTTCCTGGGGATGTAGGGACGTCTCACCAGTAGCGTCTCACTCCGACAAGTCCACTCTAAGGAGGGTGGCAACTTGCTAGGGGTAAAACACCTAGTTTGGAGCTAAGTAGCTAGCTAGGAGTAGAGATGGCATGTCATGTAAGACACTTGACGTGACCGCAGCCCTTTTTTAGCACATCCGTGCTACTCGAGGAAAAGTGAGGTGACCGAGTCAACAGTGCTGTGTAGTCACCAACCGTGTTTTGAGCCCAATACGCACCCACCGTGTAACTTCGCTGTTTGCAAATGGAATGGAATGTACAATGATGTATGTATGCGTTGATGCATGTATGCATGTATGCATGTATGCATGTATGCATCTATGCATCTATGCATGTTTGTTTGTTTGTTTGTTTGTTTGTTTGTTTGTTTGTTTGTGTGTCTGTCTGTCTGTCTGTCTGTAAGGATTTATCCATGTGTATTTTTCAACCTTTTTTGAAGCGTCACGTTTTTGCAAGGAATGATACAGGGTCGGTTGCTACATGTGTGGATGTTTTGATTTGTTACGTATGTAAGTTTATGGTTTTGATTTAAGCGTGGGGTCCGTGGAATGAATTTTATTGGTTCAGTTGCTGAAGTGGTTGATGTTAAGTATCATCAAATATGTTTTATTGATCATATGTGTTCTTTGGGATGGTGCAACTCCTATGGGACGGGTTTTTGGGTGAAGGAAACAAATCGGAATGGTGTTTGTAATCTCTGTATTGCAAGTCCCCTTTTCCACAATATGGTCTGAGTGATTGTCCACAGTTTTATGCGCATCAATTTGTTGCAGTTTCCATGTCAATGCAATGCTGGTGGAACGCAATTTTTTTAAAAAACATTGCATTTATTTGAACAGTGTCACGTTGCAATTTGATGCAGGTGAATTTTGACATGCCTGAAACGTTTCTAGCAGTAAAATGCCACCAAATAATTTTTGCAAAATGCCATCAAATAATTTTTGATTTCCACCAAACCCATCCAAAAAACAACAAAACTTGAAATTCAAATCATTGAAAACAATTACAATTACAAGATCACCAACGCTTTTATAGTTTTGATGGATTGGATTACATTTGCGGTTGGACCATTGTCCTTTCGTCATGGCAAACAAATTTGATGCTACATTGTGTTGCCTTCCCAATGCTAACATATTGTAAGTTGGAACAGCTTCCGTGGACATGGATTGATGCGTCAGTCGTGCGGTACTACGCTGAAATGCTTCGCTGTTGTGCTGGTGGTCACTGCAGCATTCGACAATGATTGGCCATTGCGGCAGGTCACATGTGCGATATGTGAGTCTTGATTCCTTCATGTGATGCCTTGAAGGATTTTCCAAAACATTTTTTGCAACTTTCGCAGGTAAAATGGAGATTTTGAACTGCAAAATGTTTGACCAATTGTGTTTCAAAACATGGCTGGCTGGGCTTGCGACTGGCAGGTCTGCAGCGACTTGGGGCAAGTAAAATGGCGCCAAATTTCTTCCCAACTTTGGGAACAGGCGCCAATGACATTGTTTCAAAAACTAGCGTGGTTTACAATTAAAATCATGGGAAAAATGTTAAAAAAAATGTTAAAAAAATGTTGGGATATGCTAATCATGGGAACTTTAAAATCATAGCATGTCCAAAAAACATGTTGAATGGGAATAGGTCTTTAGCAACGAGATTGGGTTTTAGGTTTGAGTTTGCGCACCGCCGAGCAAACTCGATCAGGTGACGCAAAGCGATTTGGGTTTATCACTGAGTGTTGCCAGTGCCACTGCTATGACCCACTCGTCCCTTGGTTTTCGGACATTTTGGACTTGGCCCCCATTGTGATTGGGACTCAGGTGCCTTCACTGAAAAAGGTTCCTGAAAACATCCAAGGTTCGACCAGCACTTGAAATGCATCAACAACTGAATTGGCACCAGAGTGTTTTCAACACGCATCGGGCTTCAGGGTCACGACCAATTCCACATTGAGTGATGTGTTTATGTCGTGGAACTGGTGTTCAGGTGGTTGTGTAATATTAACCACATATATATCGTTTAAATCTTCATTGATTTCATTTATTTCATTCATTGATTTGTTTGTTTGATTGATTGATTGATTGATTCAATTATTTATTCATTCAGCAAGAAATGAACCAATTTTATGCATTTCATTTGTTTGATCCATTTATTCATTTTATTCCTAGATTCATTTATATATTCATTTCTTAATTATATACATATGTATTCATTTTTCAATCGATCGAATGTTTATTTCTTTTCTTGCGGTTTGTTTATTTGTCCCTGCTTTCCTACTTAAATCTATATATTGGTTTTATTTGTGTTGGACGATTTCTGTTTTGTATCCTGTACTGTTCATGCATGGTATATATTTATCTATATTTACCCATTTCTTTACCTGATTACTATAGTATCACGAAACTTGAACAGGTATGATCTGTTGTTATCTGTTGTTCTGCCCTCGGGGTCTAGTTCTTGACACGATATTGTACCATGTTGTGTTCGTTGATATCGTAGCATGCCACTCCATGCTTGGTGCCCCTACTGTTTAATTATGGTAGATATGTCCAACAACTTCAGGGGGTCTATCACCAAGCACCCCTGGGGGCCAGCACCTTGTACTCTCACTATATCAAGGAAACTCACTGCAAATGAGGCGGCAGCCGTGCACTTAATCCATAAATCTACCGGTTATTTTGGTGTCAACTACAGGGTACCTGTTTGAACTGACCCGTACCCCTGTAGTGCTTTGCTAAACTACATCAACCTACATTGTTCGTATGTGGTCAAGATACACCATAGCGTTTTTACAATGGTTTCAAACCACTCGCTTCGAGTGTATGGAATTACATATATCAGCATACAACTATAATAGTTATAATATATATATGGCTATGAATCAATACCTATTAATACCATTTTTAGTGGGATGAACATCCATTTACCAGCTATTTTGATGTGAACTACAGGGGTACTATTGGTTTTGACACACTGCTATATATATATTACTGTACTAGTATTGATCAGCCTCAGAAGACTGCCAGACTGCAGATTGGATCAGGTCCGGCTGGGTGATGCGCCAGTATGGATCGGGACATCGATTGGCGGAGGCGGCATCGGTTTCGCCACTGGGGATAGCCCCAAATCATTCATTTTTTGGTACTCCATAAGTAATTTTCCCATTATAAATGGATTTAAATGGAATATTAAACCATCAATGGATTTATGATACTCCATTATAAATGGTTTAAACAATTCCCCATTTATGGAGTACCATATAAATCCATTGTGTTTTTTCCCATCCAGCGATAAATGGGTAGCCCCATGACTATGGAGTTTCTCCCAAATCTTGCTCAGTGTGGCCAGGTATGTTGGATGGGCGTTCTGACCTTGCAGCTTTGGGAGTTGGTGATGCGTTTTCCTGTTCTGAACCCTCGGGAAGTGCAGGAGACAAAAAACGACACCGGGGGGTCCCGAAGTTTGACCGGTCGGTGCAGGTGATCCATGAGACCTTTCTAGCCATTAAGGGCCGCTAGCCTCTGGTAATTTGTTACAGTTTGCTATTGAAAATGACCATTTATATCCATTTATAGTGGATTTTCCCATTGAACATGGTGATTTTCCAAATTTTTGCATAGCTATGTCAGTCATTACCAGAGGGTAGCCTTTCTAGCTCCAGTGGGAACCCAGTTTGGAGACCATCAACTGCTGGTGGATCCGTGCAGGACGAGTGGCGTTTGATGACCAACGCCGACTGGTCCCTGCTGCTGTTGACGGATTTCCCCATTTGGGGCGTCCTCAGACAGGCCCAAGGACGAGTGACCTCATGCCCCGCGGAGAATTTTCTTTCGCCACGGAATGGGAAGCAAAAAGGGTGGATCTGGTTGAAGATCTGGAAAGATCTGGAGCTGTCAGAAATCGACTTCGCTGATCGCTTCAAAAATCCTATTGATGAATCAGTTTCAGGGGGTTGAACCAAGTTGAACCCAAGCAGTTTTTTTTTGCAGCACTTTTTACTGGCTGATCTGTAGATCAATCACCACACCTAGGTCCAGCTTACACCCACTCACCTTCTGCGCGGCACGCGGTGGGTGCGCGCAGATGTGATCACCTGAGATGGGGTCCATCCCTGGCATCGGTCAAACATGTGGCCCAGTTAGATGAATTGTTCATATGGATCAAGAATGATCAATCATATTCAATCATGAAAAATCTCACCTCGCATCGCAAGGTTGTTAAAATAAAAAGTGCTGATTCCTAGGATGGAGGTAGAAAATTACATCCAAGTAGAACATCCTCTTGGCCGCATCTTTTTTCACGAAAGCCACATACGAAAGCCATGGCTGCCATGGCGCCTGAGGTCCACTTCCACGCTGCGACGAGATGGACCAAGATGTGAAGGAACCTCCCCGACTCCCCAACAAAAAAAGATGTTCTTTTTTCAGTGAATGATGATGAATGAATTAATGAATTGACTTTAAACAGAACTTGCGGGTTGATTCACCATCTCAGCAACTAGTAATGGCCGATCTGGTTTGACTAAGAACGACTGATGGAAAGTGCAGCTGGCGAAGCCGTGAAGAAATTTCTCCAGGATCAGCAGTACTACATCGATGCAGTGGTGAATTCGGCACTGGTAGGCGATCAGCTTTACATGATGAAGCTTGGCTCGTGGAAGAATTCGTCTCGGTGATGGGATGTGGTAAATTCTCAATTTGCTGTATCAAATTGATTTGAGACATTGGATAAAAAGGGAGAGTCAAATAAGCAGCTTGATAAAGAAGGACCACAGCTGCTCAGCTTGTGCTGCGGTGCGATGCAAACAGATCATCTTTTGGTTGATCATTAGTTTGGGATTATACTACCCTTATATTTATATAGAATATATATATATATCTAAGAATCTCTCTCTATATATATATAATGACTGGAGATGATCATAATCCATGAAGTTGGAATCTCCTTTTTTGGGCCAGGCCTTTCTCAAGTGGTTCACATTTAACCACAGACCATCGCCCAGTGGAGTCTGGAGCAAAAACTAGTCACGGCTCACGGCTCCTGCTATTTTCACACGGCAGTTTTTGCGATCTGCAGACACAGGCACACACACACTTTTGATGTCTATCCTATATATATATGTATAATATAATATAACACAACACAACATAACATAATAAAGTATAATATAACACAACATAACATAATAAAGTATAATAAAGTATACATATAAAGTATAACACATATAAAGCAATATAATATCATATCACATCATATAGTGTATGCATTTTTCATCGTTACAGCCGAGGATCCCACCACAGCGGCCGCGGTGTCCTCTGGGTCTGGCAGCCATAGAGCTGGCAGTGGCACTGGTGGAGGTGTTGTGGCAGCGGTGTGGAGAAGGTGATTTCTCCATGACACATGGAGATTTTACCAAAAATTTAGAAAAATTGTGATTTAACTATGCAAAAATTGTGGATTCAATTTTAGACCAATTGTGATATGCAAAAATTGTCTCCATGGAGCAAAAATATGCAAAAATTGTGATTTAACTATGACTTAAATGGGGATTCAGCTAGATTTCACGGAGAAAAATAAAGATTCAATGGGGATTTACCCTCCAGTGAACTAAGAGTTTGCTATGGTATAGATGGTCCATTTGGTTCGATGTTTGACCTTTCCTTCACATGGTGATTTCCAAAGCAATGTTGTTTTCCAGACGGTAGTTTCTCCAATTCAGAATTCTAGGGTTGATGCGGAGGGGGATCAAACCAAGAACGCTATAAAGGATTGGATCTTAGTGGGATCCACTGGTGGATTCATGGGATATGAATGTGGGATTTGACGGATATGATATGGATGCCATTAACCCCCCGTTCATATTGAAGAGCCCCATGGTTCCTGATCCCAAATATGTGGTTTCATCCCCTACTCAACCATGGTTTCTGGGAGGTTTTTCATATGAATGGGGGAAGGGAGTACCCTTTAATGTTGACAAGTGGATAACATAGGTGGGCAATACAATCATACCATGATAAAACATCAATGACACATATATCTATCTATCTATCTGTCTGTCTGTCTATCTGTCTGTCTGTCTATCTATCTATCTATCTACCTATCTACCTATCTACCTATCTACCTATCTACCTATCTATCTATCCATCTATCCATCTATCTATCTATCTATCTTTCTTTCTATTTCTATTATTATTTATTAATATTACTACTATTTATAAAACAATGATAAGTGGATATTTAAACATAGTTGGAGGGTTGTATCATATGCCCCAACTTAGGGGGGTTATTACCATATTTATACTCATTAATAACCCCAACTGCACCCCCAAGTGTGCTCATATACATACATATTATTTCATTGGCCCATGTCCACACGTGGCATTTCCAGGTGTGGGTCGTTCAACCTTGTATATAAGGTATCGTCATGCAGAACTATGCCGAACGTATCAGCCAAGTGCGAAGAGATTCTATGCTTCATTGTATTTACTTTTTGTGATCAGCAAACAAATGGTTAATATTAACCATTAATATTAACCATTAATATTAACCATTAATATTAACCATTAATATTAACCATTAATATTCATTAATGAATATTAAGTAATAGCATTTCAATACATTTCAATACATTTCATGAATCCTGCTTAGCAAAGGCGGTCCCTTTGCTGGGTTATTCCCAGCTGTCGAGGTGTCCCAGTTTGGCGGTCAGAAGGCTTGGCCCAAGCTGGTGCATGTTGTGGCTGGCGCGCAACGGCGCATCATCCGCTATTTGGAGGAGGGGCTATATGAAGCTCCTACCCGTACGACACTGGGCGAATCCGGAGCATGGATGATTTTTACATCCTAAATATGGCAGTGTGTCAAAACCTTGTACCCCTGGTGAACATCAAAATAGCTGGTAAATGGATGTTCATCCCACTAAAAATGGTATCTATAGGTATTGATCCATACCCATATGGGTGTGTCTGAAAAAATGGGATATTTGACCACCTGTATACCGCATTATACGGCCATTGTAGATCAACCAGTGGATTTAGGGGAACATTGATCCTGCTTAGACGGATACAAGCGAGAGTTGGCCAGGCTGTCCTCTAAGAATGGTTAGGATCGCCCTTATGTGAGAATTTCGATGGTTTATTCCTACTGTGTTTTAATGATATTCCCAAATTATATCAAGCTTATCGTTTTCACTTGGAAAATGGAGATGTCGCAGTGAAAGGCGGTCTCGAATGCACAACTTTCCAGCAGTTCTCTCAGGGATGATATGGGTCCTGTAGCTGCAGATCCTATGGGAGAGCTACTGGTCTGGGGCCCAGGAGCTTTTTTTACCAGGCTTTCCGAGGCTTTCTCAGTTGACAGTTCCATTCCACCGACCAAGTCCTCTCGATGGGATGTCGTGGGGCTGCTACATGCGATGCAGGTGGGGCAACTGACTGGTGCTGGTCCACTGGTGCAACGTGTTCGGTTTCTGGTGACTTTTGGCAAACGACCAACCGTTGTGGCTGCGGTACTCGTAGGTGATTCTGCTCCGATCCACCGATGGCCATCCTTTTCGGCCTCTACCGTGGTTGGTGGCCGAGGTTCCACCGTAACGGTTGGCTGCTAGTTACGTGGGGAATGGGGGGAATGAATGGGATGATCATGGGGCCCCATTCAACCCATCCAACCCACGTTTAGCACCAGTAAGTTATTGTCAATAGTGTAGATCATCCAGCCTCAAAGTGACGCAGAAACATAGCTGCATAGCTGCTATAGCTCACTTGCTTCATTTGAGCCAATGGTGCAGGCTCCTCATGGACCTTCGATCTTGAAGGATACCCAAAGCACTCTGGGAGGCTATGTACCTCGGCTGGTTGGGATGTGACGTCGTCAGTGCCTTTTGTGGAACCTGTGGTAACCTCCACATTATCCGGGACCCTCTGAGGTGCGCTACCTGCACGTGCCTCAGAAGTTTTTGAACGACCGCAGTTTTGGGATATTTTGAAACATGGCACCATCAGTTGAACCATCTCATTTTTCGAGATATGCAACCTTGACATACCTTGACCACATGTTTCATCTTTTCATCTCTTTTTGGGGAGGCATCGTTCATGTGAAGCAAGTTATCATTCACAGGTCTTCCGTAGCATACCTAAAATCCTGTGCCGGGTTTCAGGTTAGCCGAGTTGCGCAGCGAGTTCTGGGGCGCCGGTGATGGCGTTGAGAGCCTTGGCAGAATCATTTTTCGAGTTTGTTGATGTTTCATTCAAAAACCGCCAAAATGACTGCTGTTTCCCAGGAATTTTGTGCTACGCGTCCTCCATGAAGGCTGAGCGCGGATGGGTCATTGTTGTTCAAATTAGGTTCTTAGATTCAGTAGGCTCCTAAGAAAGCCTCAGTATTGCATTTATTCAAGAGATTCATTTGATCTTCTTCCGGGAAGGACTTTTTTTTTCTGGGGTAAACGTTTACAAAAAGATGTGGAAAACCTCGGTTCCCCTTCGGAACATGATCTACATTCATGGTGGGTAAACTCCACATCAACAGGACGGAGGCACCTGGAGAAGTCAACAAGGGCGTCTCGGTTGGGGGTTGGCATCCCGGAATTTTCGCCAATTTTCTGGGCTCATTTGGGGAAGATTTTCAATCCAAATAAGCTAGAAATCAGTTCAGAATTGTATTCTTGGTGGCTATTCTCGCACTTCCAATCAATGATCACTTATCAGAATGGAAGAATGATCTATGAAGGTTTGCTCTAAACACCACAGCCTACGACGTCCGAGGTCTTTGTGGATGTGGGCGCCTTTTGTGACACGGTTGCGCTGAACTGTAACCCACCTGTTGAAATAGAGGAGGGGGAAATAAGTGATTGGAACCAATCATGACAATATCAATTGAGATAAAGATAGACAAAGCTCTAGAGTCTAGAAGGATTGTGCTTGATTTTTCCTGGCATGGATTCCTTTGTTTCGGTGTTTCATCTTGGCTTATGGATGCACCAAGATTGGACACCATGATTTCATTGTGCCAGCACTGTGTACACGGTGCTGGGAAGGTATGGAGACACACCCACAACAAGCAGAACGAAGTCTAAGTACACCCAACAACAGCCGAGATACAGCAACAGCTTCGACAACCCCGAAACAAGGAATTCTTCTTAGGTATTTCTTCTTCAGATGTCCAGTTATTGTGGACATGTCCTGAACATTGAGCCCCCCAAGATTTTGGATGGCTCACTCTGAGCATGACCCACCTGTTGTCATTTGTCGTTGAATTGTCCGGTTTTCCCTATTTGCGCGGTCATATCACCATATGTGTTCGTCAACATGTGCAATCCGGACGTCGGTCCGGATTGCAGACGATCCTGGTGGTTCTTGGTGAAACACACAAATCGTTTCCTTTTTTTTACCCTCCGGTAAACAAACATAGCTATTGTAAAATGGCCCATTTATAGTGGATTTACCCATAAAAAATGGTATGTTAGTTTAGTAGAGGGTAAATCCTAAAATTTGGCTGACCACTCTGACCCCCCATTGTTAGCTACGATTTTAACCGCCACTCAGGTTATCGCCACGAATGTTTGCCTCGTGTGCTGCTGAATGAGGTGGCCAAAGATCATCGAGGCCACAAGAGTTTTGAAGCAAAGGAATTCATATTCATTCCAATGAGACATAATGATTATACATATATATATATATCATATCATATCATATTATATCATATCATCTTATATAATAATATGATATTATACCCTTTGATCTTATTATATAATATAATATTATATTGTATTATATTTTATTTTATTATATTATATTAAACTATATCATTTTATATTACATTTATATTCACCTATATCTTTATATTATATTATGGTCCATATATGTAAATATGAATATCACGTCAAACATTTTTGGCCGTATGCATTCGCAAGCATTTTGCAGGTGCAACAAAACGCCAAAACACCAAAACGTTAAAAAGAAAAACACAGAGTGAAAGGGTGAAAATACTTTAAACAATTTTTCACCATTTCTTTTCGTTGTCAACGCCAAAATCCCAGGTAACATCAAGGTGTATGCCTTGGAACCAAATCGACGGAACTTCTTGCGCACGCAGGCAGTGGCTTTTTAGAGAGATTGAAAATAGAAGATGACTGTTGGAACAGACATTGCCAAAAACCTAGAGGTATGAAGAAATATGAAGACGTGAGATCCATCCCAGTGGAATGATCTCTTCAGATGAAGGCATTCAAGGCTCCCGGATCATTTAGGCCCTTACAAATTTCTTGACCCTCAAGACAACGTGCAGATCACGTTTACTGATGTATATTAGAATGAATTTCCGTAGAGCCACAGCCCTGTATATAAATCCAACATCTGGAAAAACATATCTAGTTTTCTCAAAATATAGACTATATCATTTAAATAAGTATACTATAATATATATTTCCATGTTATCATCCATCATTTCCGAATCCGCTGGTTTCAAGCCGTGCTATACAGTATACTATACTATATACAGTATATATATATATATACAATATTATACAGTATATAGTATATAGTATATAATATTATACTATACTCAATATAATATTATACTATACACAATATGAGATATTTCGTCCTCGTCTTCGAGTTGAAAGGCGCTGTTGGCGCGTCTGCCAAAACGCTGGCGGCGCCACTTGCATCTGCAGCGGGCGGCGGCGGGAAACCACTCCCGCAGCCAGGTGTGCAGATTTTTCGACGCTGGGATCCGATATGTTAATAAACGGTATAATTGGTATACCCTCTGGTAAACTAACATAACTATGGAAAATCACCATTTTTAATGGGAAAACTCACTATAAATGTCAATTTTCAATAGCTATGTTAGTTTACCAGAGGGTAATATATATATATGGGTATAATGATAACTATATATATATATATATGGGTATTAATAAATGCCCTGATTTTCCACACACGTGGCATGTCTTTGAGTCACTCCCTTTGCCCTGGGATCGTTCTCTTTCTGGTCGTGGGATTTCCCTTTGCCTTTGGATGCGGTCCACCTCCATAGGTGGGCCCATCTGAGCCACCAGCTGTTGCCTCCGCGCTCTGACCATCTCGCAAATTAAGGGATCTCACTGCAAAGAGTTCTCACAGCCAAGAGATCTGACAAAAATTCTCACAGCCAAGAGATCTCACAGCAAAGAGATCGAGATCTCACAGCTAAGAGATCTGACAGCAAAGAAGTCTCACAGCAATGGTTGTAAATAGAAATATAATGGATATGCTTATATATCTAATGGGTATATTGTGGTTAATAATTGCCATTGGGCATATAAAATAGATGGGTATATAGTGGGTATATGTACATGTATAATTGCCAATGGTTAATAATGGGTATATACATGTATATACAATATATTTTCAATATATATATAGAAATATAGATGATGGTTAATAGATAATTTCTTGACAATGGTTGACAATGGTTAATAGGAAGTATATGAGGTTTCCTAAGCTATGGGGGTTCCCCCAAATAGTATTAGAGTCATTGGAGGTCATGGATGACCATGGTGACTTGAGTGGATCCCCTTTTATGTAATGCTTAGATTAGATCCATAGAAATGTTATACTCATGTTCTAATATTAACATGATATGTAACAAATGGATATTGCAGTCAATAATGGTTAGCAATATCCATTCGACATGTAATGGTTATATATATATATGTATGTATAATTATGGATATAATGGTTTATTTTCTTTTGTTATTCTATCTCCCTTTGTAATATCCATTTTTCCATTCAATGTTTTTAAATCTATTTTCATTATTTATGATATATGTTTTAACGATGGTGTTATCAATGTTGGCCTTTATGACCACTTTTCATAGCGCTCAAGTCAAGATTTGAGTCCCTGGACACGCTCTAATTGGTGACTCGGGATTTGCACATTTACCGTGGTTCATCGACAGATTTGTTCAAAAACATAACTCGTCACTGCCGGTTGCTGAGGGAAGAATTGTTCTATCCTTCTAAGGACCTCTAGATAATCTTTTATCTTTCGGTAGTATCTTAGGATCCCTAATGTGTACGGATGGATTCCCCGAGTTTATCGCTTGGACTCAAATTCATATTTGTTTTGTGGACAGCCAGTTCTTGTTGCTTCACTATATTCATATATATATAGATAGATAGATAGATAGATAGATAGATAGATAGATAGATAGATAGATACTGTGATCATTTACTTTCATGAGCATCTGCGTTTCGGAACTGGCTAGCACTGTAACCATGTAACCATGGTCAGTTTCCGATGGAATTGTTCCAGTAATTTTGTTCCGCTACAAAAAACCCAGACGATAAGCTGGTCATTCTGGGTATCGTCTATAGAATTTACCCGGCCTGGTTATGACTGAAATAGCCATGGTATAGATGGCCCATAGAAATAGATGGTTTACCGAACTTTTTTAAATGGTGATTTTCCATGGCTATGTTAAATAACCAGATGGCATCATGTTTTTTTTGGTTTTGACTGAGTGGAAAAATTGGGAACTATGTACCAGGCTACTTTTGGATGGCCATAGCATATGTTTAGACAACTGTACATATCGCCTTGTACATTCCAGTACCAAATTTGAGAGTGGCATGTTTCTCTTGGGGAACTTGGGTCAGAACTGATCGGATTAGAACTCCTGGCAATTTTCAAACAGCTACACATGTGGTTTCAACATGGTTTGCGAAATCAGTTTATGTCCATGTCATTGGATTGGCAGGTCGAACTTGCCTCCAGTGACAAAAACATGACTTAGATACACAGATACACAAATACACGGATACACAGATACATGGATGGGTGCATGGATGGATGGACGGACGGACGGACGGACGGACGGATGGATTAGTAGATTAGTAGATTAGTAGATTAGTTAGATTAGATAGATTAGATAGATTAGATAGATTAGATAGATTAGATAGATTAGATAGATTAGATAGATTAGATAGATTAGATAGATTAGATAGTCATATAGAGAGTCATAAGATCCCTGATTCTGCTTGCTCCACCTCCTTGGCAGGTGGTACTGCATGGCATTGGGGCCAAAGCGTCACTAAAGGTGGAAGGGGGGCGGCTGGGATTTTACCAACTTCAAAGCATAGGCCAGCTACAAGTTAATGGGGATTCGAAAGTTGACACCCTCAAAGAATAAGGGGTTTTCTTAAACACCCACTACTGATGGTGGGATTCAAACAGTAGATTTATTAATGGTGACAATTAATTGCACTAAACAAGTAGCACCCACTACTGAGAGGCATCAATTGCTGGGATTGAATCCCTGCAAAATGTCAGGCAGATGCCTACGGCGCCTCGGAAAATGGGGTCCGGTCCGTGGCGACCCACTTTTCTGGGACTTTTCAGCTGTGGATATCCAGAGTTTCTCTACGAAATGGGGAGCTCCTTACTTAGCTGAAACCTCAAAAGATCCAGCGAGATGCACATGAAATGACTCTGCTGGAAAAATCCAGCTACAAAAGTTGCTTCCATTCCCATTTTCGTCGAAAATTTCTGGTTCTATCCCTATTTTTTCTTGGTTCAGTCAGCATTTATTTCTTGGCATTTCTTTATACCTTCACATGCTTAAAAATTGCATCTATGGCTACTTCTTTGTTTTAAGAAACTTATTAGATATCTCCAAATATTGGCATTTCTGGCACTTCTTGATGGTTGCATATCGGTTAGATGTCAATGTCAACCATCGATCACTTTTCCCAATCATAACCATATTTTTTCACAAGAGGTTGTGAATATCAGTGAATTATCATCTGCAGAAACTCCGTGTTAAACATATCATCAAACTATCCAACAGATTTGTTTGGCATATCGATCTTTGATACAAAAAAGTCTTCTGCAGAACATGTTTCATAGATATTCCATGAATTTTCTACACACACCTGTGCTGATGACTAAGGCGGCCTCCTTTGGCGGCAAACAGGGGAAGGTCGCGTGCAGAGCGAGGTGGATCGCTACGTGGAAACGGTGTCGTTGAAGCGCTTGGACCATTGGAAGGTGCGCATGGCCATTTTTTACGAGATTTAGGGACGAGAGAATGGGGATTAAGAGGATGGGAGTATTGAAGATGGTTTATGGTGAAAATCATGGTTTAGCTAAGTAATTTGGGATTTGAATGGATTTGAAGCATCAGGAGATGTGGAAGTATGAGAAGTAGGGAGGATGGGAGGATGGGAGAGGGGCAGCTGCGTAGCTCCTTAAAATCTGATGATTCAGCATGTTGAGAGAGAATCCCAAAAATGCGATATGGTTCTTGGTAAAATGGTTAAAAACAGGGATGAAGTTAATGAAGTTCTTGTTGTTTTGGAATATATATATACATACATATATATATACATATATATATACATATATATATACATATATATATATAAACATACATATATATATATACATATATATATATACATATTTTTTCGGGACTGACCGTCCTGACACATCTGACACCGAGGTCTTGCCCCGGAGACTTGAGCTGCTGAAAATCGATGTGGAGGGCAGTGAGATGGATGTTCTGCAGGGTGCCAGGTGGGCTGCTGATTAGTTGGGATTGATCCCTTAAGACGTAAAGCCTCTGGTAAACATACAAAAAACTATTGAAAATGACCATAGAAATAGTGGATTTTTCTATTTTCATCATGGTGATTTTCCAGTTCGCTATGTTAAATTACCAAGACGTAAAGCCTCAAAATACTCTGGTGGTACTTAAGATACTTCAGGTACTTTGGACATCTTTGGACCGCATCATCCATCTGTGGCTCTGACCTCGAGGTCCATCATTGAGGAGCAGCGGGTCAACAGCATCGTTCTGGAGTACTCGCACTTCTGGAGTGCCAAGTTGAAAACCCTGGCGGAAGACATGTCTGCGAAGGGCTACGATGGCTACTTCCTGGGTACCCACTGCATTTTACCCTTCAGCAGCTTGGCAGTAGAGGTTAGCAGCTGAAGAAATTGGATGTCCATGATGTCCTGCAATCTGAGGATCATTAGAATCACGGTGCGACTTCAGATCTTTGGAATCTTTGGACTTTTCTCCACTTTCAACAGAGGTCACCATGACCCACTCCAGACCTTTTGCCCCGGTCACCATGGGTCACCCGGAATTTTCTGAGGTGGATCGAAGATGGAGTGGTGGCATGATGTCTATGAGGTTTGCGCCAAGATCAAAGATCGAATCTATCGTGGCATGGCCGGCTGGTGTTGGCTCAATGTGGTCTTCCTGTTGAGAGGCTCCAGATTGAGCCGGAAGGCATGGCAGTGGGTGCCAGTTGAGGGCCACTGTACCAAGACACTGCTGGGATCTCAAAAGAATGGGCCGGCGGCGTTGCGGTTCGCTGCGGCCTTGCGGTTGGGAATCCTAAAGATGCCCGTTCTGTTGGTGGCTCGGTCGGGCTGAAAACTCGTGTTTCTTTTGACTGAAATCTTCGTGCTTGATTTTCAAGCTTGGGCAGTGACTGACATCAGTCGGAAGCACGGCAGAACATGTAGAGATTGCATCAGCCGGGTCATGCAGAGCTGCAGCAGATCCATATCAGGGAATCTAGACTTTGTCCCAGTGGTCATCCACCAAAGATAAAGGTCCAACTTGGAATCAGCCTTTAAAGACTTCGAGCCTTTGTGAGGAGAGCAACCCGATTCAGTCCGTGGTTTTTGAAGCCCATTTTCCCACATGTTGTTGGTGAGGGCAATCATTTGGAATATCACATCCGCTGATTTTTGCATGGCGGAGCCCAGCCTGATCTCTGGTGGAGAGGCGGTGCTAGCTATCTTGGGTTAACCTCTTCTGCAGGATAACTGGTGCGCTCAAGCCACGAAGGCACAGATGGTTATGGCAAATTCATAGGAAGGTACTGGAAAATCATGGTATGATTGGGAGAATAGGAGCCTACATGAGGATGTCGACTCAGAAGCTTCCTTTTGCAGCAAACTCACCAGCTTGCAGGCCTTTCGAAACATTGAGAACCCCAGGACTGATGCTCAGTTTTTTGAAATGACTTGGAATGTCACTCCGAAAGCCATCCTAAATGTAGTTGCAGTTGTCAGCTTGAGGATGTTGAGGATGTTGTGGATGTTGGTTGATGTTGGTTGATGTTGGTTGATGCTGGTTGATGTTCGTTGTGGTTCTGTGACATACTATTATATATAATATATATATACTTATATGGGGGTGTCCTAAAATAGATTGGAGTATCCCCAAATCATCCATTTATAGCTGTAGAAAATCACAATTTTTAGTGGGTAAATCAACTATAAATGGCCATTTTCAATGGCTATGTTAAATTACCAGAGGGTAGATTCCATTAATATCCCATTGAATCACTATAAGATCCCATTAAATCACTATAAATCCCTATCAATTTCCATTAAATGAGTGTGCTTCCATTTCTTCTGGGTGTTTGGGAAGACTCTCGCCAGAGGCTGCGAGAACCTCCTGAGCGTCTACGGCGACGTTTGGTGGCGAAAGAGGCGAGATCTTCCAAATAGGCCAGAGAACTTTCCAGAAACCGGTATACTATCATGATATAATAATAATAATGATAATGATAATAACAATGATAACAACAACAACAATAATAATAATAATAGTAATAACAATAATAATGATAAATAAATACATAACAGATAATAATAGTAATAATAAGAATGATATATATATATATATACATAATAGTAATATATAATAGTAATATATATATACACATACACATAGATATACATTAGATATATATATATACATAACATGGTATATCAATTACCATCAATGGTTTCCAAGCTTGTGCGAAAGATTTCATTAAAGCATGTTCTCTCGAAGTGATTGGTGTTCAGGTTCTGAAGCTCATGCCATGCCTCCTTTGTTTGTGGGAGCAAGAAGTGCTGTAACTTTGTGAGTTATGTATATATATATATTATATCGGGGTTTCCATAAATGGGGATACCCGATAGCTGGATGGTTTATAATTGAAAATCCATCTAAAAATGGATGATTTGCGGGTACCCCCATTTTAGGAACCCACCATATATATATATATGTGCACATAAATGCACACACACACAAACGCACAGACATAAAAAAATGATGCATCCATTATCATATACGTGAATGGCTTACAATGGAAATGAGCACGGGGTATCCGCTTGTGGGAAGTGCATCCAACATCTCCTCTTTGAAACGTCCACGATGCAGGACGTTTCAACATCTGAAGGCGTGCAGGGCCAGTGGTATCCTAGCGGCTAAGAGTGGCTGGGATACATCGCAACAGATTTGGATTTGTCAGAAAATAGGGTACCCCGTTCCATCCATTGCCAAATCACCATTTCCTGATCAAAAATAGCCATTTTGGGGGGTGTACCAACCATTTTCAGACACACAAATAGTATATCATCATAGTGGGTAAGAAGCCCATGCTACTGACAGCACTTGTCAGAGAAAACTGGACAGCACTTGCTGCTGAAAAACCGGTGACGATTTGAGGCTATCAACAGGGCCCCGTGGAGTCGATGCCTCAAGTGGGTCCTGCAAGTCATGTTTTTCTCTGCAAAAGTCCAACTTCAGATGTGATTGAAAAAATCGTCCAACTCCAAGTTGTTGGAACTCAACGTAGTAATTCATGAATCATTTCTTTCCAGCTGAGAACTAGCCCATTTTTCATCCTTTTCTCTTTGCCCTATGTCCGCGGCGCCTACAGGAGTTACTCCTCGGAATGCGAGGTGCTGCCAGGTGCACGTCACAGATGGTTTTTTCACGAGGGATATTTCAGGTGGAACATGGGACATCTGGTTAAACAAGGGATATTTCAGGGTTTAATGTTGTCAATACAACATTATGGTTACACGTGGGGCATTGAACCGTCAAACATGGGGATTTAAAATGATCTAAGCAGCAACAATGGTGGCATGATGGCATTTTTTTAAATCATAAACCCTCTGGAAGGAACCAAGAGCTTGCGAACTGCAACATCACCATTCAGTTCGGGATGAACTTCATCGAAGCTGTGGGGCAGGTTGCTTCCGCAAAGTCCTGAATTGTTAGAGAGTTTTGTATTTCTGGGTATACCCTCTGGTAATTTAGCCATTTATAGTGGATTTTCCCATGAATAGCATGGTGATTTTCCATAGTTATGTTAATTTACCAGAGGGTATACCATGAATACCTTGGCTAAAGATGAGCCCATAGTTCCAATGAGGTTCCCGAACCTTGGGGACCCCAAAATTTATCACAGCCTGAGCGCCCGAATCTTGGGGATGGAGATCGCAGGTGCATTCAAAGCAGTGCCCAGGTGTGGTCTCTGTGGATTCCACGAAAATTGGTGAAACAGTGCGATTACCCTCTGGTTTAATGGGATATTATAGTGGTTCAATGTGATTCTATAGTGATTTAATGGGATTTTATAGTGATTCAATGAGATATTAATGGGATTTACCCTCTGGTTATGACTAACATAGCTATGGGATTTCGATGGCCCTAATCGAAATAGATGGTTTACCGAACTTTTTTAAATGGTGATTTTCTATGGCTATGTTAAATAACCAGATGGTATAAAGCCACTTATGGGATGAACATGATGAAATATGGATTAGATTAATATGATTCATGGATTTTGACCGAGGACCGTTGGGCCACATCCAAGTAGCCATGATTTTCTGGCCCAACTATGACCGATCTCTGTCCAGATCCAAAGTGTTGACGGTCGACACAGCCAAGGCCTGCCGGCTCTGATGGGCGCCAGATTTCAATCCTATGCCCTGATTGGGAGTCGGGGTTTTACCTTGAACATCTGAGAAATTCAGAGATCTAGAAATTTTATCGGCAGTGGTAAGTCCGCAACGTTTTTCTTTTTGGGCATATCCTAGATAGAACGTGATAGAACTAGCTGGGCCCATCCTGGCCCGTCCGAAAATCGTCACGATTCCATGTGAGGCGGACTGTGCTGGTTTCGCAGCCGCAGATGGGCAGATTGGACCGCGACCCAAGGCAGGGGCTTCCAGGGGGTATCCATCATGTTGAAATATACATTGGTTATATAAATCCGTGATATAAAGATTATAAAGTGTAACTCTCTATGCCTCGTGAAACAGAACATATCCCTTATGTTGGTTATTCTTGTTTAGTTTTCTACATATTCATATGTATTTCATCTCTCTGTATATATATATATGTATATCCATGGATTTCATGCCACTTAAAATATCAATCTATATCCCCCAAAATGATATCTTATATTACCCATTCCACATCGAAAGTTCCGCCAGGCTCAAGACTCAGCGACCCTGTTGCCCACGCAGGTGGTTTTTTTTGCTGAACGGAGATCTGGAAGCGGAAAGCCACCAAGTTTCCGACCCATTTTAAGTATCATTTTAACTGGCAAAAGTCATATGAAAATATGGGTATGGATCAATACCTATTAATACCATTTTTAGTGGGATGAACACCCATTTACCAGCTATTTTGATGTTCACCAGGGGTACTATTGGTTTTGACCCACTGCCATATATGAAATGGGGGGGATTTCACATGATTTCACCAAGCCTCTCAGGTTAATCAGCCCTGATGTAGCGGTGCTAGCTTTGGCAGCATCTTCAATGGGATGAATCCTTTACAAACGTGAGAACGTGAAGAAAATAGCTGGTAGTTCTACAGTTATACTACCTTGCTTATTGGAGATTCTGATAAGTCATAGGGAATCCGTTTTGAAGCAACTAGTTTTGGTCGTTTTCGGGATATCAACATGGGCGTAAAATGTGAGGACGACACGGTACATCCTCATTTCCAGACACCAACTTGAGTTGATTCCTGATCGTCGCGGGCAGGTGGAAAGTAAATATGTGCCGTGCAATGCTCAGCAGGGGCACGATGTCCAAAGAGAGGTGGATTTAGGCCCAATTCTGGGCCAGTGATTCCATGGTAAAACATGTTAAAAAAAAATCTCTTCCGCATGAGATTGACCTGGGCTATCCTGCCATGGAAACTTGCCATGGCGAAACGAGCTCCGAAACGAGGCCTGTGGTGATCGATCCCAAGCTTCTTTGGAGTTCCTGTGGCAAGCCGCTTCCGCTGTGACCTCGGAGTGACTTCATGACTTGGGCAGCTTGATGGAAGGAATTTCCAATATATATATATACAATATATATATATAATATATGTATATGTATATGTATATGTATATATATATATATATGTATGTATGATATTTATAGAACTTCCTGCAAATTTCAGATGTTACTGGCTGGATTCGTTTATTCGTTTGTGTTTTTTATTGTCGCATTTTATAAAAAAAGTGAATCCAACTGGCAAGGCTCCATTGGGCAGCCAAGTTTGACCCGTCGTCCGTTGAGGCCGAAACCGAAGAAGTGAGCGCGGTGAAAATGGCGGCGACTCACTCAACTTGATCCCAATTGACTGGGTTTATATAGTACTTAGTACATCTTAGTAGCAAAAATCACCATTTTTTTTTTGCGCCAAAAATCGCAGCCCAAAAATCGCAGTTCTTTCAGTGGGATGTTTATTACTTGGCAGTGACGGAACCTGATTGATCATCTCTTTGGGCTCCAGTCCCGTCCCGGCTGTGGCAGATGGAGGCCCCATGGGGTCACTTTTCAAAGTCGGGTCATGTCGACCTGGAGATTTCAGCGGCCATGGATTTTAGTTGTGACCTCACAACTTGAAGGTTGAAATCTTCAGAACTTCAAAAAAAAAACCAGGTGAATTCCAGGTGGAAAAAAAACCAGGTATTGGTTTCCCAAGATTTCTCAATTTTCCAAAGTGGAACGTACCTAAGGTGAGGTGATCATCAGGGCTCACTGGAATTTTTTTCAGGCGCCACGCGTGGAGAAAGGGCGGCAAGCTGCGACAGCTCGGGGGTCCCCAAGCTCAGTGCGATGACATTTCTCGGGCGCCATTGCATTCAATATCATTTAATCAAAAACACCCCAGAAAAAGTCGGATAGAACAGTAGATCATCACTTTTTCTAACGTGGGATTTGATTGATTTGATGTTTCTATGTTGGCCAGTTTTTTCGTTTGGTGAAAGAAATTTGACCAACGATGGCAGCCTCATGGCACGAGGCCACGTTCCCAAGGAAGTGGGCCCGGTGGGGTTCTCAGGAACCCTGGGATGGGGCACCAGCGGAGTTTCAGCAGTGACCAGGCTACCCGATGGGGATCCGATGGGGATCGCTGAGGACCAAGGCCATCTTCTGCAAGATGCACAACAAAAGATTCGGAGGAAGGTGGAGTCGTTTCTGTCAAGCTGGTGCTTGATTCTCCTAATGCTCAATGTTTTGTGTTCCTCCAAAATTGAATACTTTAACACTCAACCTTTTCAACTTAGATTCAAACTTAAACACATTAGCTCAATATCCTGAATGGGAGCGGAAAAACCATGTGGGGAAGGCTATGGGTCAAACTTTGCGACCAGCCCACAGATTTAGAAAACCCATTCCCTCGGGCTTTGAACCTGTCAATAAATGGCCATTGGTGTATCTGCCATTTCAAGACTATCATATGGGTATGGATCAATACCTATTAATACCATTTTTAGGGGGATGAACATCCATTTACCAGCTATTTTGATGTTCACCAGGGGTACAAGGTTTTGACACACTGCCATATATTTTTAATTGTATCAAATTATATCCCATTATATCTCCAATATATATCAAGTTATATCCCATTATATCTCCAATATATATCAAGTTATATCCCATTATATCTCCAATATATATCAAGTTATATCCCATTATATCTCCAATATATATCAAGTTATATCCCATTATATCTCCAATATATATCAAGTTATATCCCATTATATCTCCAATATATCCCAATGACATGCCCATGATATCTAAAGTTGTTGGAAAAAACAGTCCATGAAACAAATGGCAGTCGCTGCTTGTTGTTCAAATCTCCGGATATAGCCATGGTTGATGGTTAACCCGATGCGAATACATATTGATGATCGGGATATTTATTGATAGTCAATTGAGCTGAATGTGTCCTCATCATTCCTCATCACTGATGGCTACATTGCTACATATCCACATGACATGCCCATTGTATTCTATGATAGTATCACTATCCAAATGATTGCTGGCAAATACTAATATCCGACAAAGAAATTTCCCATGATGGGTCAAATATCCAAATTCAGATTCGTTAAGACCCCAATTGTATGCCAACAATATCCCAATCATATCCTGATGGTCATTGGTTTATACCCAACTACCCTAGTATATCCCAATTACATTCCACGTATCCTAGAATTGGTTTGTACCCCATTCTAGAACATGATAGCCACTATTGGATTTATCCCCCTGATATACTAGCTATATGCCCATTATGGCTCATGAATACCGCTATGACATCCGGATTTCCGTGAAAATACCAGCCAAAATTCCTGCAGTCATGGTAACCATAGCACCAACCAAAATTCATGGTGACTGTCAATGGATTGGATTTAAGGGAAAATTCAGAGGAAACCCCCATTTTTTTCATGGTCAAAATCCTGGTTTCCGGTTAAGATTTTCCCTCAATCCAATGACTGTAGAGACTGGGGGATGGCTTGGTTTGTTTTTGATCCACCAAAAGAGGGCCAAGTCGATAGGTTTTTCCAGGATTCCACTCCCTGCAGGTGGCCTGCCGAGCTGTGAGGAGGGTCTCTGCCGGAAACCTTTTTTTTCCCCCGGTCAAAGCATCGTGAAACCATGGGCGACTGGAATTTCTCCCAGCCATTGACTCATTGACCAACCAAATATCCAACCGTTTTTGGTGCTTACACCACCATTTTTTATGAGAAACCACCATTATTGATATATAGTAGCTAGGGAAAATCACCATTAAACAATAGGCAAATCATCACAAGTCGCTCGGGGGCAATGGCTTCCACAGCAAACTGTTAAATGAACAGAGGGTAGAAAACATCATTTTTGCTGCTTAAAATCACCATATTTTATCTCCTAAACTCAATTTTTGCTGATTTAACAGGCAATTTTGGTTTCTTAAAATCACCAGGATAATATCCATTATTTATTGGCTCTATCTATCTATCTACCTATCTATCTACCTATATATCTATCTATCTATCGATCTATCTATCTATCTACCTATCTATCTACCTATCTATCTACCTATATATCTATCTATCTATCGATCGATCGATCTATCTATCTATCTATCTACCTATCTATCTACCTATCTATCTACCTATATATCTATCTATCTATCGATCTATCTATCCATCCATCTATCTATCTACCAGTGTTACTGCTGAAATCACCACATCTTATGTGTGAAAGACCCAGCATGTCCAGGATCCCAGCGTTGAATCATCATCCTCTCGCTGCGACCCCGCGCTTCGGGATGCGTTGCAACGCTTAGATGCGGTGAGGCTGGAGAATCTCTGACATCTTGGGGCTTTTATGGGATTTTCATAGGATTTTCATGCGATTTCAATGGATTTCGTAGGATTTTCATGCGACTTCATAGAATTTCACAGGATTTCATGGTATGTCATGGGATGTCAAAGCATAAGATCCATGAAAGATGGGGAACTCAACAGGATTTCAACACATTTTTCAAGCCATGGATATCACATCCAAAATACGAGGATTCCCAGCATTGGGAACACGAATACCTCGAGGGAGGTAGGACCGTAGTACGCCGGTACGACATTTTTCCAAACCGAATCCCCTTGGATTTTTAGCAGGCGGCAACAACCGCGGCCCCACGACTTTGGCTTGGAGCGATTCCTGGAGGATTTTTTTGGGATGGTCCGAATCGGAAGCCGGAAAAAATTTCATTCGGCAACATATTTTTAAGGGCCATTCTGAGGAAATTTTATGAGACCATTTCTGGGATCCATTTTTGGATGGTTGGATTCTCATGGACCATAGCCATAGCCATAGCTTCCCATTGGAATCTCTGGATCTGATGGCCATGGCAGCCATGGCCATGGCATCATCCCATCCTCCCCTCCTGTGAGGACGGTGCGCCTTCCAGACCCAGGCGTTTTTTATCGTTTTTTTGGGGCTTTTGGGTTGGTGAATATCGTGACTTAAATAGCCAACTTTTTTGCAGTGTGTATATATAATTGTAATATATAATATATACTTTAATAGAATGACATGTGAATGTGTATATCAATATGAATGTATGCTATTTCCAATTTTCCAATATATTTTAATGATCTCCACTTCGTAAAAAACTGGAGTTGCATCCAATTGGTTTTTGATCCAAGTTGAACTCGGCAAGGGAAGGACGACCCTTGGCGAAGGCCTGTTGTGATTCCTCTGAGAGGAGATTTTTCCAGCTATGAACTATAGCATAGATAATATGGGCTTATATCAGTTATATATCCCATCTGTAGGTTAACCATAGATAATCCGGGGTTATATCCGATCTTATGGAGGTTATTTCATGGTTATACCCAGAAAAGTAACCTCAACTGCTTTCCCTGGATGGTTTGGATGGCGTCAGGCAGTCTGGAGGCACAGGCGCGTTTGGGAACCAGAATGCTCCCCCAACTAAATTGTAAAATGAGGGAATGAAAGAGGGTATGTGATACGAAGTAAATAAATAAATAAATACATAAATAAATAAATAAATGATGTGTGAATATATAGATCTACGTATATGAATATATATATATATACAAGGAGGGCCCTCAATGAAGAGGGCTGAAATCAGCGTCCGTTAGCGACCCCAAATTCAGACCTTTTGCACACACAGCACGAGGCCCCACGTATAGGGTCACAGCAGCGGCTCCCCCCCCGCACCCCCAGGATCAATGTTGTTTCCTGGTGTTAATCACTGCAGCAGCCAACTTCCAAAGCGTCAGGTCTTCACAGCAAGACATTTTCGTCAACCTTGATTCCGGGGGGTGCAGGGGGGGGCCGCATGTGGCCGGAAAGGCCCTTTGAATTAGGAAGAAACACATGTGCCGTCACGGCAGGTGGCACATCACAGCTGCAAGATGAAATGCTTCACTGGCCGTTGGCGATGTCAATCTTTGCATTGGCTCCACTGCAACACTAGCATGCTTCGGTGTGAAACTACTAAGCACGATGTCACAACTTTATATTGGCTCTGCCGCAAAACTACTATGCTTCTGTGTGAAAACTACTAAGGGGAATTTCAAACTTTGTATTGGCTCGGTGGCAAAACTACTAAGGAATTGTTCAATGGACAAAAAAGGAAACACTTTCTTCTATTTCTTTTCAATTGGCAGAATTCCTTAGTAGTTTTGCGTCCAAGCCATTGTGATTTCAATTTCACGGGTTAGTAGTTTTTCATGCGTGCATGAGCTGTGACTCTGCCGTGCCAATGCAAAGTCTGCGAAAATGGTTGGAAGTATCCTTAGTAGTTTTTTGGGGCCACAGCAAAAACAGGTGCCAAAGCACGCAAAAACGTGTTTTTGATGCCTTGGGAGACAGCAGTCGTTAGGTAACCTGCCGCGTGTGACTTCACCACATTCCTGTCTGACTCCTTTAGAGACAGCAGTCTCAAGTGCTTCAGTGAGACATATAGTTTTGAGGAAGCTGCTGCTGACTCCTCGGGAGACAGCAATCACAAGTGCTTCAGTGAGACATATAGTTTTGAGGAAGCTGCTGCTGACTCCTCGGGAGAGCAATCACAAGTGCTTCAGTGAGACATATAGTTTTGAAGAAGCTGCTACTGCTGACGGGTCATTTTGAAGGCCAGGAGCCACGAGAGGTCTTGGGTGCTCAGTTTGCCCGCCGATTTCAGGACTCTGCGTCGTTTTTTCTCCCGGCGCAGAGCTGAAACAAAAAGATTGAAAGTACAAGTGGTGCGATGCAGGTGCAATGCAGCTTCACCAAAAAAAACCTGAGATGGGAAAGATGAAGGTGCAAGTGGCACGATGGAATGTCAATACAGCTTCACCAACACAAACATGGCACACAAGGATGAAATTGAACCAGCCTGGGCCTTGACTTCTCGACTGGTTTGCTGCAGCTGGCGTTTCAAGGCCTGCCTTTCAGCTTTCAAAGCAGCTATACGGTCATCCATCCCGGGCACATGGGCTACAGCAGCACCTTCCGCAGCATCCCTTTCCATACCAGCGGCGGCAGAGGACATGGCTATAGATATAGTCAAATTGTGTTTTCTGCGACGAGCTGTGAGCCGTGCTAGCTGCAGAAGCCATGCCGTCTGGACAGCTTCCATGCCAATTTTCTCAAACTGCACAACTGGAAGATAGTGTGACAAAACATGGCCGGTGGGGGCCCAAAACTGGGGGCTTGAAAAGTGATGCCAAAGGGACTCCCGTACCATGTACCCCCATAGTATTATGGAAAAAAATCTTTGTCCTATAGTGCCACCCACGTCTGCAAATCTGTTGGATCCACCCGGAGCGGCAGCATCAAAGAAAAAGAACCTTATACGCGTGCGCCATTTGGCGTCGCGCTGGCCAAACGCACTGCATCTGCTGGGGTGTCGGCCTGTCAGGCCCAGGCCAAGGCACCCCTGCACCCATCAAGTGTTGAAGCGCTTTGTGCACTTGACCTGGGCCATTGCAGCCCACTGCATCGAAGCTTTTCTGCCATTGCCGAGCTGCCCAAAATTCGTGAGGGGCTTGCATGCACTGCCATAGCCAGGCCAGAGGAGGCACTAAACCGTGCTCTGAATATGAGCGCAACTCCTGGTGCTTCCTTTTCAAATATTGTTTAAAAGGGGAGAAGCCTTGCAGATCAAGCGGCTGTAGGTAATCCGTTGTCTGCGCTGGGATATATATAAGCTGCAGCTTGCACTTGCGTGCCATTGCCATGACCTGCCGTGGCAGGTGTGCCGGCGCACAATCAAGGAGTACAACGCCTTGTTTTGACGGAAAACTTTTCAGCACTTCTGCGATCTCTTTGAGAATTTGGGCACTGTTGGCAGCAGAGGTCCAAGCGGACTTTTGCCGCAAAACACGCAAACGAGTTTGTGGCAAAGCGCGCTGGGCGCGCAAGAGCTTCTTCGTGAGTTTCACCTGGGTGCCAATGAAAAAATGAGGCAACTTCCCTTGGATGTGCTTGCAGTTGCAAATCACGCTGACATAAGTAAGTCCACGCACCTCGAACATGTTGCTTCAGCACCTGTGCATGCGGCTGTTTGCCACCTGCTGTCCGTGGCTTTGCCACACATCCAATAGGCGGTGTCATGGTGTGGCCGACGCTAGTCTCATCCAGATTTATAAAAAGTAGCTCCCTGTCTGCGAGCCTGCTGTGGCAATAGCAGATGGCCCGCCAAAATGTCATGACCTGCTCGAGCGTTGCAGGAAGTGAAAGACAAAGCCTTATTATATATAGGGTCCCCAAATATAATTCCGAGGGAAGAAATTGATTGAAAATGGGGGCCTATTTTTGGTGCCAGATTCTGGCCCCAAAAATGGGACCGCCCAACCGGGATTAAGTAGGCTTATACAGGCATGAAACATGAGGGGGACCCATTTTTGGGGCCACATTCCGGCCCCAAAAATGGAGCCAGCCAACCCAAAAAAAGAAGACAAAATGTTGTAAGTTGGCTGGCCCGCGCCTTGTCGCGCAGTACAGCGGGGTCTCTGCTAACAACTTGCTTCAGCACCTTCCGGCGGACGCCCCACCGAGCCCGCCAGCGCTGCACCCACTTATTGACCATGCGTTTGTTTGGCACACCCATGTCCAGCTTCTGGCCATGGAAGGCCTCCTCCCACTTCAAAAACGTGTCCATCGCAGAAGGTGCTTGACAATGATTCGTATTGCAGTCATAGACCCACTGCTCTGTGGCTGCTTCGGCCAGGAAGGCTTGCGCTTTGCGTGAAGCTGTGTCATCCAAAGCGGTCAAATCTGGCAGCGGCGTCGTCAGCAACATCTCTTGGATCAAAGCTGCCGTGGGTACCCATTGCTGCCATAGGATATCGTTGTCAAAGCACAAGCCATGCGGAGAGTCAAATCCATGTTAAAATTCGACAGCATGTAAACAGCTACCACAGTTTTGCGGGCTGCCACTCCAAGGCCGGCACAGTGCAACCTTTTCCGTTTTTTGGCATTCTGCCGATAAGCCGCTTTCAGTGCTTTGCCGTTCTGCACCAAGGCTTCCTTCAAGTCTGACACCCTGGCATCAGATGTGCCTTCGGCCACACCACAGGGCGGCTGCATGACTGACCGCAGAAAAACTATCTGTCGGCAGACTCATTGAAAACATTCGTGTCATGTCAAACCAATGCTGTCTGATACAGCTGAATTCGAATGGAAGCAAGGAAGATGACCTAATGAGTGCGGCCAAAGCATGGCCTCGGCATTTCAAAGCATACAAATTCATGTCTGGCTCATGCAAAAAACAAAAACTATATTGCTGTTGCATGCAGTCAGCGCGGCAAGACTTGATTCATATGGCTGCGTCCAGGAAAAACATCGAGGAGAGGCGACCTGTGAGGAGCAGGCAAGACCGAACAATGATGATGAGCCGTCCAATCATGTGGGTTTGTGTTATGACACTGTTATGGAAAATACACTGCTGGTTATCTCTCCACATCATGCAGGTTTGTGTTGTCACAAGGAGGGCCCTCAATGAAGAGGGCTGAAATCAGCGTCCGTTAGCGACCCCAAATTCAGACCTTTTGCACACACAGCACGAGGCCCCACGTATAGGGTCACAGCAGCGGCTCCCCCCCCGCACCCCCAGGATCAATGTTGTTTCCTGGTGTTAATCACTGCAGCAGCCAACTTCCAAAGCGTCAGGTCTTCACAGCAAGACATTTTCGTCAACCTTGATTCCGGGGGGTGCAGGGGGGGGCCAACATGTGGCCGGAAAGGCCCTTTGAATTAGGAAGAAACACATGTGCCGTCACGGCAGGTGGCACATCACAGCTGCAAGATGAAATGCTTCACTGGCCGTTGGCGATGTCAATCTTTGCATTGGCTCCACTGCAACACTAGCATGCTTCGGTGTGAAACTACTAAGCACGATGTCACAACTTTATATTGGCTCTGCCGCAAAACTACTATGCTTCTGTGTGAAAACTACTAAG